CTTGTAAAGCATTTTACTGCCTTTCGCCCAGGTTCAATCGCGCCAAAAAAAATGAGCCGAACGTGCGAAAGGAATTTAGCGAAGCAATGACGGTGAGCGAAGAAGGGAAATCGGGAATATTGAAAAAGTAGTACTCGTTCTCGACTCCGAAACAATAGTTTAAAGAGAGAAAAAACGCGAAAAAAGAAAGGAAAGAAAGGAAAACATCGGTCAACGGTAAACGAGAGTGAATGGACGGACGGACGAACGTGAAAGAGTTCGCGAGGGAAAAAAGAAATTAATTAATCGTCGAGGAGTGATCTTCGATTTTTTTTATCGTACCATTTGTGAACATTGACGATGTAACTTATTATTATTACTATTATTATTATTATTAATATTATTATTGTATTATTATATTATTATTTTTCTTTTCTTGTTTTATTTTTCACTCCATGTTTTTTAGTTCTCGGTATTACGTTTAGGAAGGCGATAACAAAGAGAAGTGTGACGAACGATTTAAAAAGAAGAAAAAAAATGTCGAGCCAGCAGCGCGATCGACATGCATTTCTCTATATCGATCGTACGGAAAAGAAACGCTGGAACGACGAAATGCGTGTTGATTGTAGTACGAAAAATAATACAAAACAATACGAAAACGCGGGTGTGCTTTGGGCAATGAAAAATCACACACACACACACACACGTTGACACGCGACATGTACGGTTGAGATGAACACACAAAACGAAAAACATACACGTACAATCACACATCGTACACACAAACACTAAAGGTACATTACACACACACACACACGTACACAGTATGCTTAGAGTTTAGTAGCGATTTTATAGACGATAAGTGATAGAGTAATTTAAACTGATCATTGCTATTGATGACTATTATTGACATAAGAGTACATTTAGACGAAGAATATGTTATTAAGTAAGATGTAATTGTCCTTTGTGAATATACATAAGAGAGAAATGAGAAATACAAGAAACTTTTATGATAAAAAAAAACAAACAAGGAGACTTAATCATTTTTCGTATCCGTGTACCAATCGTGGCCAAGTAAATGTGACGGGGGAATGAATGTGGAATAGAGAAAAAGAGAACATTTAAATGTTCGCGCGTGGGGATCAATATGACCAACTACATACCACGTGTACACACAATATTTTTCGACAATTCTATTGATCATCCGTGTACATGTTGTGAGATATTATAAAGTGTTAGGTGATTCCATTCTATTATACATGTACACTCAGGTGTATAGTAATGTATTTTCCTTTGTACACGCAACAATACGTACCGATCATTTGTTAAATGAACAAAAAAAAGAAGAAAATATCATTTCGAAGAATGTACGAAATACAATAATGGCATCAAGTTGATTCCGCAGGTAAAAAGAAAAAAGAAAAAGACCAAATATTAATTGTCGGACGATCAATCACGGTCACGGACACACTCGATGGATATATTTTCCTTAGTAGTAGTAAAAATGTCCGTTCGGTTGATTGAAATCGATACTATCGATTAAGTTGCATCCACACATTTAGACATTTGTATTCACTTTAGTGTTGTTTTCAATTACGATCATTTCTCTTATTTAATGTAATAGAATTGCTTTTTATATGATATGGTAAAGAATATGCAGATCCAACAAACCGAAGCATTAATCATGCATATCATGGTACAATAAAAATGTTATGTATTTAAGATGAGTGTTAAGTGAATCGTACTCACCAAACGATCCTTTAAGAATGTTCTTATCTTTCCTTACTCTTCAAACTCTTTCTCTCTGTCTCTCTTCAATCAATTGACGTGTGATAGCCAGAAGATTCAATTTCTAAGAAATGTTCGCAGTGTTTAGAAAATACACCAACTATTTAACTGAACTCGATCGATTTTCAATCAGGTTGGAAACGACAAGCAGAATTCGATAGAAAAATCGATCGACCACGTTCATTTCTCGATTTCACCCGAATATTCAGCAATTTGGATTTATATAATACTCAAATCCCCTCATAACCGCGTTGACAGTATTAAATATTTAATACGATGAATAACTACTTTCACTTACATACATGGAACCAAACACGCATTAACAAAAAATCGTAAGTTCGTAATCACTATATTCAATATTATCACAAACAAATTTTACTAATATTTTCAGTGATAAACTTTTGGAATAAAAGAAATTTTACTGTTGTTCTTAATTCGGCACAATTCGATTATTACTAACATCAAATTCTCTCCGTAAAATTTACGCCATGTCAAGTTTCGCGCGAACTGCTAAATATTCGATAATGTATTCGTATATATGGAAATGGGACTACATAGAGAGGTAACATCTAATGGAGGATTAAAATACTACAGTACAATTTAATTGTATTTGTATAAGTATATTTCATCTGGCATCTAGTTAAACGTATCAAATTAAAAGCATAAATAATGTCTTTGAACACATTCATCAAAGGTATGCATATAAAAATAATGTCGCAATATGAATTTTTTATCATTCGAGTGCCAAGCATACGTTGTGTTTGCATTATAATAAACTTCCGCATTATTGATAAATGTCGCAAGTACAGTAAACATTATATAAATTTTATGGAATTTGTTTCATTGTAATAAAATTTGTTATATTCATAATTTCTTTATTGGTCATTTTTTTTAATAACATTTTAAATAACACTTCATTTTAAGTAACGTTTTAACTAATAAAATTAATATAAAGAAGCAAAAGTTTGAGTAGCTCATAAGGATTGCACAGTAGTTAAAAATAATATTAATATTATTAGATTTTTCTCTAAGGGAAGTCCTGTTTATTTATTTTCTTCAGCAGGTAGTAAATGTGATTCTGAACTTTGATTGCACTGTATTACACTTAAGCTTTGCATCTTGGTCTTTAATCCTAAGATAATGTGCCTAATGCCAGGTATCCATGCACTACACAGACTAGCATGTTGCATCATTAATGCAACATGTATTTGATCTGCTTTTTCAACATTCCCCTCCCGTAAAGCTGAAAAATATTGTTTATTGTTTCTTTCCTTTCTTAAAAAAATTATATAAATCTAATTTGCAAAATTGACTGATGAGACCAACCTGTAGACAAATCTAAAATATTCTTGTATATCACATTATTTAGTTTATCTTCAAGCCATGCAGTCTTTAATACATCTAATCTTTTCTTCACCTCTTCTGCTTTACTTTTTTCCAATACATGTTCACTGATCACAGCTTCAAAATTTGTAAAGACATCATTTAATGTCTGTTCTTTATCAATTTCCATCTCGTTCATTCTTTCTTCTACATTTTTGTTCAGTGGATGTAATAATGGAGGATGTGATGCTGTTGTCAAATTAATTGCAGATTGTAATGGTGGTGGCATATTTGTCAATGTGTTTGGGAATGATTCTTTGTTTACAGCTTGTGAAGATGCCAGAGGAAATGCTACTCTTTTGTTTAATACTCGTTTAATAGGGGCTGCAGAACTTTGTGTTGCACAATATGCCCATTTTGGAGGATCATTCCATCCAGGCTCATGATCAGATGATAAAACTTTTTGCATAGAAAGGTTCTGACCTGTAAAAAAATCACGTAAATAGTTTATTGTAACCGTTGTTATTACAATTATTTTTATTCTAAAAACAAAAATAATTAGGAATCCCATCACATTATTACTAATTGGAACTATAAATTGTTATAATATTCATTATCACGCATGTTGTTGATATCCGTATTTATTATAATAGAAAAACAAATGAATATATAAAAATGTTGATAGTACTTGTCTCTTTTTCGTCCATTTTTAATCACAATCTTTTTGAATTTTACGTTATAGGAATGCAAAGAGGGGGTAACAAATAGAGACAAATTCATGTAAACTTAAAATTAACATAAAAGTTGACAGGTACATCTATAGACGTATTTATTTGTGCAGTATAATCGTACACAACATATGGTCGAGATCATAACACCCCTAACATAGTAACATATTCCAGAGCTGACAACTTCAGTTACAAAAATTACTAAGAGTAGATCATTTGTTGCATGCGTATAATAACGTATTATTAAAATATGCTATCATAATCGCAGTTATATTTAAATATTTGCAATAAAAAATTATTTACACAAATGTATTTTGTCTGCCGCATTGTAACAGCATAAATCCTCAAATTATTTATTTGATTTACAAATTATTCTATCAGATAATTTTTGGGATAAAATACGCAATATGTAATAGAAACCTAACAGTCTGAATCAATTACAATGATCAGAAATCGCGATACAATTTCTAATTAATTATTCAATATTACCTAACATGCAACTGAAATTATTGACAAATTTAATGCACGCGTGTAATATAATATGAAACACTATTTGAGTCACTCCAGTTGTAACTATCATTATAAGACTGTAGTCATGAAACTATTTCACCCTTCTAATATTTACGAAGAATCTTGGTTATTGCTCAGTACAATAAAAATTTTTGGTAAATAATTAAAAGATTCTTTATTTTAGAAACATATTTTAATTATATTGAAACGTAACATAAATATTTACTTCAGTATTAATTTTTAAATTCTATTATTTTCCTTTCAGGTTTATACCCTATAAAATTTTTCAAAATTACATGTTTAAATTACATATACGGATTCATATTAATAATACTTTATAGTACTCTCTACTTACATATATATTATTACGCACATAAATTGTTTCTGACTTTTATTGCTCTAAATCATACGTTTGTAATGAGAATAATTCGATACTGTATAAACATATTTTTATTTCCTACAATAATAATTTCAAGTATATGTCAGAGTTCAAAAATAAAAAAAGTATTCGAACAAATAGATGGTGTTGATAAAAACGTGAAATTCTTTAATACAGAGATTAATCACAATTTGTGCATGAAAAATGATATTGTTAAAATTATTACAACGATGTTTATAGTGATAATGGCCAATTTAATGGACTACTATGGATTATTAGACAATGATAAAGATTACATGTACGTTCTTATATGGATGTTTGATCGAATACCCGAATTTTTCTGTGTCATAATAATTTGTACGTTTACGGTATTTATCGATAAAATTAAACTCAGATTTAAAGAAATAAATACAATTCTAAATATCGTTACGCAAGGAAGAAGTTTCATTTCTATTTCGGAGATGTCCGACATGAACAATGGTACGTTCCTGATAAGAACATTTGTAAAAATATTTAATGTAGAAACAAACTGCTTAGAATGAAGTTTAGCTTTCAGATACAGATTATTAAAATCGCTCCGATTTGAATTAAGTAAAACGGTATCACTCATAAATGAAGCATATGGATTTCGGTTCAAAGTTTTATTCATGGTGTATACTATATATATATGTCTACACATGTGTATCATCTATATGTGTAGTGGTGATCTATTATATGTGGCGGATTTAATGCTAGCTTGTATATGCGGTACAGTTGATCTAGTAAAACTTGTTTACTTAATTCATTTATATCGCAGTCTAACGTTAGAGGTAATTTTTTAAATATTGTTAATATACAATTCCGGTATATTTCGTTATTATATTTCGATTTTACAGTATACTTAAATAATTATGGTGGAGGATGTACTTTAAACCCGGTGGACTGTTGAGCAATTTTTAAGTACAAAAAGGGTGTTGTAATATTGTAATCTTTTTAAATTATGCGGTCACTTAAGTACCAACTGATCAGCTGTAAAATTACAGCGTACGCTTTTTTTTTTTGTTAAATATAAATATTCTACTAATTACTCATCGTTTGTAGGTTATTCAATTATTTCTACAATCTAATTACAATAATAAATACATGCTGAAATAAACTATCATCCTGTTCCGACTTAAATTTCCCTTTTACAATGTTCTAATTTTTTATCATGACGTGTCCCGTCAACGTGCATCAAGCGCATGCGCAATGCCACCTTACGTGGCATCAGCAGCAGTCACAATTGCAGCGAAATACATTTTCTTCATTTAGTGTAAATATTTGTGGAAATATTAACTTTTGTTATGGTTCAAATATATTTAACGACACAACGTAAGTAATTTATATTCTACAGGCGTATCGTGAATTTTTCGTTCGTATAGCCCATTTTTAAGCATTATTGTGTGCAAAATGGCTTATTCATTTTTACTATTCTAAAGTAATATTTAATGGCAATTTACCATACAGAGCAAAGATTCATAAATGATTAGCAGGTTGATTTTACAGAAACTCAACCACTGATAAGATACACAATTGTTATATAGTTAATTTTGTATAGGTTATCTTATGTCTGTCAATATGTAGCATATTTAGAACTTCTATTTCTAAATTGTAAATTTATGAGAATATTTAGATGAATATAATTTATACATTAAAAGTATATTTCTCAATTAAAAAGTGTCTATACTATTTTTAGTAAATATTATTTTGTCCATATAATGATTTTTGGAAATATTAAATGAAGATTTAATGCTTTTTTAACAGCATCTTATGAGACTATATGTTTTCTTAAAAAATTGTAGTTTTTTTAAATAATTAAGGTAGTATAAAAGTTACTTGTAATCAAATGTTTTCTTAATCTTTTTTATTAGGATAAAAATGAATCCACAATATATACAGCAACAGCAACAACAGTCTCAACAACAACCTGGTTGTTACCCTAGCCCTCCAACTTCATCTCCATATGGGGAAGTAAATTCTAATGTTCCACCAAGTATGTTAAAAGGATCCCCAATGAATACTCAAACATATGCTTCTCAAAAACCAATGCAAGGATCTCCCCATACTAATTTACATCAGACTCAAGCACCATATTATATGAATAACATACAATCACAAGGTAATATAATTTAATTTTATTTTTCTTCCTTTGAACTTACTCATTTTTATAATAGTATAATTTTCTTTTTAGGAAATACTCAATATGATCCATCTACAAATAATCCACATATGATACCACCTCCAACAAGTCAAAATAATATAGTTAATCAAATGTCAAACATGTCTTTGGGGGATCAACAACGACCACCATCTGTGGTAATTAAAATAAAATTGAATAATAGTAGTATAGCAAAATTTTCCTCCACCACCTTTACCTGGAAAAAGTAGCCCAACAATATCCACACCTTCCAATGTGAATGGTTTTAATAATGCAGTAGAAACATCATCAGGAACTAGTAAGTATAAAGAAACTTAATTAAAAAATTGTATAATTACTAATAACAATTTAAATGTCTTTTCTTTAAAAGGTTTTGCTGGGCAAACTGATCCTGGTGGAAAATCTGAACCATCTATCCCTGGACAGACTGTACAAGAGCAGAAAACAGCTCTAAAGACTTCTACACCACAGCCTACTAGTCTTCCATTTTCAGAACATTCAACAGGAACTACTTCTGGCCACTATTATCCTGGACAAAATTTACCATCTGAACAAGTGTTTAATACCGGTTTGTCATCATCAAGTCAGCATCAATCTGGTCAAATGAATATTACTGAAACATCTGGACAGTCAATTTTTCCCGCACTACCTATGGGGCAAAGATCTACAGCTCGACCATTACAAGGACAGCAACTTGCATCTAGTTCACCTTTACCTGGACAACAAAATATTCCTAACCCAATGATACCAGGACAGCCAAATTTATCTGGACCTCCATTGTCAAGTCAACAAAGTCACAACAATACACCTATGCAAGGTGTACATGGACAACAAAATTTAATTGGATCATCACAGTCTAAGCAGCATTTGTCATGCCCACCCTTGCAAACACAGTCAAATTTGTCTGGTCCTTCACTTCCAGGACCACCTTTACCGGGACAACAATATTCTCTATTACAAGGGCAACAAAAACCTGGTCATTCCTATACAGAACCACCAAATGTGTCGATGTTTAATGTACATGCTCAATCAAATTTACCTGGCCCTCCATTGATGAATCAACAAAGCGTACATCCAACTCCAATGCCAGGTCAACAAAGTGTGGGCCCACCTCCATTAACAAACCAACAGGGATTTAACAAACCACCATTAGTAGGACAACAAAATTTATCCAGTTCACAAATGCAACCTCCATTACCTGGTCAACCAGTGGCACAGATTAATTCTGGTACAAATTTACCGCAATCTGGTCAGAGACCCTATATATCTGGACCCCCTCCTATACAAGGACAAAATATTGGAAATCCCCTAGGGGTTAGTCGTAGCCCACCTAGTGTAATGCCAAATTACCAACATACAGGATATCAAGGCTATAATAACGATATATATAACACTCAAAGAGGTTCATATCAAGGTGGTACACCAGGCGTAACCGGTGGATATCAACCCGGTATGCAACCACAACAAGTTAGACGTTTGGATCCTGAACAAATGCCAAGCCCAATTCAAGTAATGCAAGATGATCAGCGTGTAAGAGGAGGTATATTCGTAACAAATCAAAAGGGATTGGTTCCACCATTAGTAACTACCAAATTTGTGACGCAGGATCAAGGAAATGCATCTCCTAGATATATCAGATCTACTATGTATACTGTTCCTACCACAACAGACATTATAAAACAAACGAATGTTCCATTTGGTCTAATAGTAAGTCCAATGGCTCGTACAGAAGAAGCGGAATACGAACCTCCTATTGTAGATATGGGTGAAATTGGTCCAGTTCGTTGCATACGCTGCAAAGCATACATGAGTCCGTTTATGCAATTTATTGACGCGGGCAGAAGATTTCAATGCATGTTTTGTAAAGCTACAACTGAGGTTCCGGCAGAATACTTCCAACATTTGGATCACACTGGTCAACGTATGGATCGCTTTGAAAGACCAGAATTAATGCTAGGAACGTATGAATATATTGCTACCAAGGATTATTGCAGGAACAATACTTTTCCAAAACCACCAGCTATTGTGTTCGTAATCGATGTATCGTACAACACAGTTAAATCTGGTTTAGTTAATCTATTATGTATGCAAATGAAGTCAATCTTGCGGCATCTACCTGTTGATGCTAATGAAAGAAAAACGAACATGAAAGTAGGATTTATAACGTACAATAATACGGTGCACTTTTATAATATTAATTCTTACCTTGCTCAACCACAAATGATGGTTGTCGGGGACATACAAGACGTTTTTATGCCACTTCTTGATGGATTTTTATGCGACGTTGAAGAAAGCGAATCTGTTATTGACGGTTTGATGACACAAATACCAGCAATGTTCGCAGTTACTCGCGAAACAGAAACAATTCTCGCACCAGCCATACAAGCTGGATTAGAAGCATTAAAGGTATTACACATTATAAAACAAAAACGTAACATATGCCAAATAGTTGAAATTTTAATTGTTAATATTTAAGGCTTCAGATTGTGCTGGGAAGTTAATAGTTTTCCATTCTTCCTTGCCCATTGCTGACGCTCCTGGTAAATTGAAAAATCGCGATGACCGTAAAGTTCTCGGAACAGAGAAAGAAAAAACTGTTTTAGGTAAATTACTTATACGATATTATTTATAAGTGAATATTTTAAGTAATTCATAATTCCAAATTAACTTTCTCTTTCAGCTCCACAAAATAACGTCTACAATAATTTAGGTCAAGAGTGCGTAGGTGCGGGATGTTCTGTAGATTTGTTCGTTTTTAATAATTCATATGTGGACATTGCAACAATAGGTCAAATTGCCAGATTGACCGGTGGAGAAGTTTACAAATATACTTATTTCCAAGTAATGGACATAGCACTAATAGAATAGATGCAAGTAGAGAATACGTATCACTTGAAATTTTTCATCTTTTAGGCTGATGTAGATGGCGAACGTTTAATATCCGATGTGATTAATAATATTAGCAGACCAATTGCATTTGATGCCATTATGCGTGTACGTACATCTACTGGCGTTCGAGCAACTGATTTCTATGGACATTTCTTCATGTCAAATACAACAGATATGGAATTAGCTAGTATAGATTGTAATAAGGTAGGATTATGTTACAAATGAAGATTTTTTCCATTATATATTTTAAATGTAATAGTAACTTTGTACATTTGATACTTTAGGCCATTGCGATAGAAGTGAAACATGACGATAAACTAACCGATGATGAAGGTGTATATATTCAAGCAGCTTTGTTGTATACTTCCTGCAGTGGAATCAGAAGATTGCGTATTATTAATCTTAGTTTAAAAACTTCGTCCCAAATAACTGAATTATACCGGGCATGTGACTTAGATGCTATCATAAATTTCTTCTCTAAACAAAGTAAGATAATGCCGTAAATAGCTTGAATGCCATAAATTATATTTGTCTTTTACCCAGGTGTTTTTAAACTAATTGAATCAACTCCGAAAACTGTAAAGGACAACTTAATTGCACGATCTTCAAATATATTGGCCGCATATAGAAAACACTGCGCTTCTCCATCTAATGCTGGCCAATTAATATTACCAGAGTGTATGAAATTGCTCCCACTTTACATCAATTCGTTATTGAAAACTGATGCTTTATCTGGAGGTATATTCATTTTTTTCCTTTTTCCTATTGTAAACATTATCACGATGAAGATAATAGCATAAATTCAATTTTTCAGGGGCCGATATGACTATTGACGATAGATCTTTCGTTATGCAAGCAATTACTACAATGCCCATTTCAATATCAGTTGTATATGTTTATCCGAGATTACTTCTTTTACACGAAGTTGATCCACAAGATACAGAGTTACCACAAATGTTGCGCTGCTCTATTGATAAATTCACAGATGACGGCGCGTATTTACTTGGTATGATGTTATTTATTATTTTTTATAATTATGTTTTTAATTATACTCAGATTCCGTTTGTATTTTTCTAATTAGAAAACAGCATCCACATGTTCATGTGGTTAGGCTTGGCACTTTCTCCACAATGGGTACAGGCAGTGTTCGGAGTTCCATCAGTTGTTCAAGTTGACACAGACTGTACCACACTGCCAGTATTAGATACTCCACTAAATAAGCGAATTAACGGTATCATTAATCGTGTACGTATGGAAAGGCATCGTTGTATGAGGGTAAGTAAATGAAAAAATATGAAATGTGTTAAAAATTTTGTGAAACTAATGTTTCATTAAATCTTTTTAGTTAACTATAGTGAGACAGCGTGAAAAGCTTGAAATGGTATTACGTCACTTCTTGGTTGAAGATAGAGGAAACGACGGAAGTCCCAGTTACGTTGATTTCCTTTGCCAAATGCACAAAGAAATAAGAACACTCCTTAACCAATAAAATGAATCTTAAAGCAATCAGTTATCTTGTGTTGGAATCCTAGCTTACTACATGTCTGTGACTATTGTCACATTATGTAAAGGATCAGTTAGATTATTAAACGAAATTTATTCGAAGCTCAATGGGGATCATAGATTGTGCATGCATTCGCACGTACTATAAAAAAAGAATGTGGAAAAAAAACTAACTTACATTTATAACACGGTACCTACGGGCAATGAACTTTACAACATAACTAATCATTCCGCGAGAAAAAACGGCGCATGTGAAACATCCGAATGCACTCACACAGTGATTTATACACGAATTGTAAACGTAAAATTGTATTATTACTTTTTATTTTAACTAGCTCATTAATGTTATTATTATGCTAAATTAAATAATAAAAATGTATTAAATCATTATAAATTTATATATTAAAACAATCTCTTGTGTTAATTGAATTGTACTTCTGCAATGAAAGTTATGTATATGTTAATGTTATTTTAGTATATTATATTTTATAAACTTAAAACTGTTTTATATTTGATTGCATATAAAACTGCTATAAAATCTTTTTTATTATACTTTAATTTTCGCTTTTGAATATGTTGTGATTTATAATTAATATATTTCATATATGCATTATCGATGCATTTGATTATATTGTTTAAATAAGTAAATAAACTTGTAAAATAAATATTCAGAAAAATATATGAAAATTAATAAAAATTTTTACCATTAAAAATTACTTTGTGCAAAATGAAAATAAAAGGAAGGATAAAAAAATTACTCTAACAAATAAAGTTCAAACATCGATGCCATGGATGTAGACCGTTAAAGTTTCCCTTTCTTAAATCCCTATACATATATGTAACTAGGTTATGTGCAAAAAAAATACATCGCAAATTAGTCGTATCTGACATTCGAATATGTATAAACATTAAATTGATTGAAATATTTTATTATAACACGATTAAAAAAATACTAATATTTTGATAATCACAAAATTAACTGTCATAAAAATAAAAAATGATTTATAGCGATAAGCATAAAATAGTTTTACAAACATTTATAAATGAAGGTTTGTTAAATGAAAGTAAAGCAAAAGACCTAGTTATCAATTTATTTAGTAAGTACATTATTATTTAACACTCAAATGTGTGTACATTTTTTGTATATTGTTTATGTACACAGTAAAGGAAACGGTACATTTCAGATGATGATGAAATATCGGTAGTAATAAATCAAATTAATCAGCAATTACAGCCTCTAAACATGTTAATTAGAAAGACACAGTGTGAAATTACAGGTCAGATTTATTGGGTTTTAATTTCCACTGTACTTGATGAAGTTACCAGGTATATGTTTTTAGTTTTGTCATTTAATATAAACACACTTATTTTGACTTAATTGTTTTGTAATTATTTGTTACTATTAAGTTTCTCTTATATTACTGTGATGATTTATTAAGTAATATAATTGTCAACATTTTATAGATTTCAAACTGAATTTTCAAAAGCTCAGTTGACCTTGTTAAGAACCATATTTTCTGAAATTATAACTTCAAACAATGGATGCATACAAAGTACAGTATGTTTAAATTTATGCTCTTCTTTAGATATAAAATTATCAAAAACAGAAGCTGAAGAATTTTTAGATGATGTAGTTAAAAGAAAATGGTTAGCTTATAAGGTATTAATGATGGGATTCATAAAATTTCAGTATAATTCATTTTTATTGTATCATTAACATTGTTTATTTATGTTGTTTGTAGGATGGTTATTACTATGTTGGTTTAAGAAGTATAACTGAGTTAATGCCATACTTTAGAGCCACTTATGAAGGCAATTTAAGTACTTGTTATCTTTGCAAACAAGTTATTTTTCATGTATGCTTTTATTGAGAAAATAAGTAATTATGTAACTTAAATTACCAACTAATATTCCTTTTTATTAATTAGGGCAAAAAATGTGATAATTGTGAAACCTTTTTCCACTTATACTGTTTGAAAAGATACATTATGATTCACAATCCTATGAAGTGTCTTAATTGTGATACTATTATCTCAGACATTGATCTCTCTGGTAATATATTTTTATCTATTTTTATCTTCTTTTTTTATTGAAGTAATATACCATTAAATGTTATATATAGGTGTAGTAGAAGATTCAGCACAGACAGATGATAATATGAGTGAATTAAAAACATCCAGTAAAAGGGTTTCCAGAAGCAAACACTAAACAAAATTCAGCTAACACATGAAACAAATATATTTACAAATATATACAGTAAAATATCTAATACTACAATGTTACAAGATACATTAAATGTTTTGACTTTTTTCAAACTTTTCTCTCAAATATTTTAAACCTGCTGCTATACTTGCTTCATCTATATTTCTATTCGGTTTCATATGATTATGCATTGTATTATTGCATTCATGTTGCATAGTGCAAGCTGTTTGAGTAAAACTAGTCTGATGACTACTTTCTTCACTGAAATTATTGTGTTTAGCACTAGAATTGTCTGTTGTTAAGTTTGGAGGAAGTGATATATCATGAGGATTTATATCTATTTCATTAGTACTTTCTGTATCATTTTGTACATTCATTTTACTTGAATCGAGTTTTTCATTGTTTTGAATACTTGAAAGTGTATCAGCATTTTGAGAATTTAAATAACCAGCACTTTTAAAGTTCTCATACACTGGTCCAAATTCATTAACTCTAGTTTTTCTACATTTATGAACCCATTCTTCCTGTGACATCTCATACCAATGGGTTCGTTTACCCAGTAGGTCTCCTAAAGCCTTTATCTTGTTTTCTTTTTCTAATTCTTTATCTTTTTCAGTAATTTGCCTTTTACTATTCTCTTTTTCTTTAGCTTCAATTGAATTCTCTTCTATAGTGCTTACATTAGATACATTTTCCGTTTTACTTTCATTAGGTTCGTTGTCATTGTTTTGTTTGAATTCCTCTTCCACTGTATCTATTGGTAATCCTGCCCTAATACGCTGTCTAATTTTAGCTGCTTTTAGTCTATTATGCTCCATTTTATCTCTCAACTCCTTCAATTCTTTTATTTCCCTCTGTTTTCTCTCTGTTTCCTTTCTTAGAGTGAACAAATTCTCCTGTTGCTTCATTCTTTCTTCTTCTTCTTGTGAAAATGCATAGTAACCAACACCATGGGTTCTAGCTTCATCAAACAAAACATCTTGATAATGTATGTTTGCCTTATCTGCCAATTTCTTTGTTTGTTCCTCCCACTTTCTCCTCATAATTTCTATTTCAGGTTCTTTTTCCTCCTGAATATAATTTTGTTCAACACTATCATTGGTTTTTGGATCAATACCTTTCTTATTTATAATTTGTTGTTTTATCAATTGGTCTTTCTCTTGCATTAAAGGTAAATCTTCACGCAAACATTTTCTTGTTCGACCAAAACAATCCTCATATTCAACCCAGTCATCTTCATTTAATAATGCTGCATCATTTTCAGTTTCTTCATCTTCTGGCAGTGGTTCTTCTTCTGATTCATCTGATTTATTTGTAAAATCAACAAGAAAATTATCATTGGAGGTTTTGGATTTCTTCATTTGTTCATATAATCTTGCCTTTGCTTGTAGCATCAACTTTGACTTTTTATGCGTATCAACATCTTCAATGTACTCTGGCTTTTTTGAATTTTCATTTTTGCTCTCTTCTTTAGCCTTTTTAAGTTTTTTCTTCTGTACCTTTGGTATAGTCTGATTTATTTCTGACTTCAACTTTGCTTCGTTTACTTCGCGTTGCTTTTTGAGGAGTTCCGCTTTTAAACCCACAAGGGATGAAAAATTGACATTGATCTTTTTGGTACTATTCATCCTTAAGTAATTTTCTTTTTACCTATTGCGATAAATTAAATATTTTATCACTAATTGTTTTACAAAGTGTTAAAATGAAACATTAATTGTAGGTTATAATGTAATAATACACGGATATTCACCTTAAAAACACATATAAAATACAAAATCTAACATATACAGTTTACAATATACTTTGAAATACGTATCGTTAGTTTTGCTTTAAACAATCACATTTTTAAGTAACATTTTTAGAAATTTATAAGTTTGTTTATATGCAAATTAACATGAACGACTCGTTCATAGAACCACCGACAATGTATAGAACCTCGTTCTATATCTCGTTTGTAGCTATACCATTATTTAAATGAAAAAATTTGAAATTGCACTAAATATACTGTACAACTTTATCAATGTTGCATAATTATTATATATGTTATTAAAAAATATATCTTTATAGACAAAAATCACAAATAAGATTTTAATACTAATCTAAAATTTCAGGAAATAAAAGCGGAAAAATATTGTAAGTACTTATTGTTAATATTTAGTCTACGTTCCTGACGCTATTTCCGCGCAATTTTCGAAATATTTCGCTCGAATTTCGGAACTTTTCCGATTTTTTCGATTATTATGCGTTCCTAACGTTATCCAGACTTAGTTTATTTAATTTTCTAATAGAATATTATTTAAAGAATGAGTATTTTTCAAATTGAAATAGATATGGTGTGCAAAGGAGGAATAAATAGACCGTGAAATACTGCAAAACAATATTAATATATTGTAACCTTTTGTAAAATACATTTTGTACACTTATCTGATAATAAATAATTGATTTTTTGATAAATAATTATTCTATCTACGTTATTAGTAATGTTAAAACAATTAAAGATTGATTACAAGTATCAATTAAATATAATAGGGTTGGCGAGGATAGCACTAGGGAAGAGAGACACGGGAATAAATATCGGTAGATAAGGATAACACTAGAGGAATGAGTTAGATAAGGAAAGAAACAGGTGTAGACAAGGACAGGAAATTTTCAAAATTGAAACTAACGCTATCTTGTGTTCGGTGATCGGAACTACGACTTTTTAATAGGAGTACAGAATATCAACAGAGGTATTAGACAAGCAAAGCACTATTGTGTGAGAGGGACGGAGAGAGAATGTTTCTTATTGGTCCGCTGGCCGCCATGCTCCACCTCCCACGCGCTGTATCATGTCGGTCAAGGAAAAATCATTAATAACTCATTAATTAGGATGATTTTGTGAACTTTTAGGATTAAAGAATGTAGTGTGGACCTTCAGTTACTTTCACACATAGTTTTTAATGAAATAGACCCTTTTAATAATTAATTATTAACAATTCTAATGCGTGATGTCGGAAACGATACCGCATACTTTTGCGGTTTTTCAATAATTTCGTAGCTTTCTACTAAATTCCCATGCCACTAACTATATGCATCTGAAAGGCAATTCCTTTGGCTACATTCTCATCTAATTTTTATTTTTGCAATCCTTGTTTTCTCCTATTCTTTTCCGAATGTTACTCATTTCTGTGTTGCTAAATACCTCAAAAAGTTGTCATTCGTAATAATATAAAAATTAATCACACAAATCGACCAAAAACTTCTACATTAATCATTAAAATTCCCTACTACAAATTGAAATAAAAAAAAAAATAATAACAATTATGAAGATTGAATAACTTAGAATCACAGACGAAGTACAGAATAGATCTAACATCTAATGCATCTTTTCGTCCCCATCAAGGGGGCTGAGAATGCCCTTATCATTTTCGTGTCGTTTCCAACGTTACCGATTCAGCATAGAATGAGATTACAACATTAGTAGTGATTGGAATTAGAACTAAACCTAACTATAAAATTACAAATAGGGTATAGGACAGGATATCATGTATTCCTATTTACACGAAGTATAGAATTTTATACTTTTAATAGTACATTCCAATAGTACATTCTGCCAGTGTCGCGTGTTCTCGCTGGTGTGATCTTTGTTGCATGCAATTATAATTATATTTACATTTCAAATTGTATTTATAATTCTATTTAATGTGACATATTTATTCAGTTTCAAACAATATTGAAAGTAATTATCATAATTATAATTATAAATTCGTTCTTATTATTGATAGGTTATATTGTTTAATTAATACATTTCGGTAAAATTACATATTTTGTATGAACATCAATAAGAAAGAAATAAAAACATATTTCTTTTTATTTATCTTAATTTCATATTTTTAATTTTTTCAGAACGCTATAAAATGGGAAAACAGAAACTAGAGTCTGATTTCGAATTATATACAAAAAGAATTAAAACAGAAAATATTAATGACAATGCGAATAGTAATATCGAAGAAATTAAGAATAATGCACCCAAAATTAAGAAAGAAGGAAAGGTAAAATACGAAAAAGCTTTAGCACATGATAATAAAGAGAATCATAAACATGTCATTAAAACTGCAAGTGAAAAGTTTAAAACAGCAAACAATAATTCTATGGAAAAGCCTAATTGGTTGGAAATTAAGAAGCAAAAGAAAGAACTTAAAGAAAAATATAAAACAAAACGACTGAACAATATTTATGATATAACAAATATGGCTAAACAGATTGGTGAAAAGTTACGTAGATCTGATTGTACAAAAGTGGAACGTAAAAAATTAATTTCAAAGGCACATGATTTATTAAAAACTAATTATAATAGAATAATACTTACACATGATATGTCTCGTATTGTTCAGTGGATGCTAAAGTATTGTGATCCAGAGATACAACAAGCTATTTATCAAGAACTACAACCTTCACTTGTGTTTATGATTCAGTCAAAATATGCAAAGAATTGTGTTAAAACCATGTTGAAATATGGATCTCAAGAGATGAAACATAAAATTGTTTCTTCTTGTTATGGTAATGTAGTGAAATTTATGAGCCATTCTGTATCTGCACCATTATTGGAATTGATGTATACAACATGGGCAAGAGAAACAGAGAAAACAT